GCCAGAGTCGAATGAGAAAAGTGACAATAATGAAAGTGACAAGAAACAGATGAGGTTCACGATTGTGGCTTATGCAGCTGCTATGGCTGCACTGGGGTCCCCAGTCCACACCTCCGTAGTAGCTCTGATTGATGGGAGGTGTTTTATCTGGCTGATAGAAAGCAGCAGACCCGTTATTACATTTACAAAATTTGGTGCCACACAATGAGAAGACTTTCTACAGCATTTGCATTGAGGTTAAGAGAGCCATAAAGCATTGCAAGGATGAGTGGTAGAGTAGTTGCGATAGCAACTGCGTTGGCAGCCTGAGATCACAAATCACTCTTTTAATAGCAGAAAATAACTTGCAGCGCAACTCCTGTTGTGACGCTTTTTATGTATGTATGTTGAACTTCTTTCACACCGTACGTAGCCAACCGTTCTAATGGAAGGATTGGGGGAAGGACAACAAATTTAAGACAAACATCACTTCTACAGAAATTCGTTTTCAATCAAGATTTAAAGTTCATAGCTCCAGTGGTTTTCTCATATCGGAAGGAAGAGCGTTCCAGACGGTCGCAGAAGCGCATCTGAAATCGTGCGATGCAGTGCCCGTCTTCATTTGATTGCTAGCAAAAAGCCGCTGCTGCGAGGATGACCAAAGTTCGCGTGATGACTAATGCTACTTGACGAGAGGAATGGAGATCTAGTCTCTGACCCCCAGGAACAGGTTTGCAAATGTGTTGAGCATTTCTGCAAGATGATAGGAGAGGCAGTACCCATCAACAACAACCGTGTGGGGCAAGAAAGGGGTGTCTGGCCCTGCGCGATGTTTGCACATCGTCAACGTTTGTTGGTAGCTGGGGGAGGTTGTATTTCCATTCCTAAGAATAATTGGTGGCCAAATTAGGCAAAAAAGTGCTCTCCGCATCCCAAGTGCCCTTAATATGTATCAGCGCTCTCAAAGCACGTGGGACACAAATATTTGTACGCTTGTCCCACATCACGCAGGACATGTTAAGCAATCATATGACATTGGCTCAGTTTGTATATGGACGGATTGGTAAACTTGGAAAGGCGAACCGTGCTGGGTCATGAGGATTGGAGTTTGTGAAGCTATTCTACGTTTTGTTTCTTCCCTCGCACTGCTCGATTTTGGAATTCCCCTTCTGCCATCGTCACTATTCCCATCTCTGACCTTGATCGATCAAAAAAATACGTGAGCGCCTGTCGATTCCATTTTCGACAACGCTGTTGATTGCTGGTCGCTTGATGTTTCAGTCGTTTGGGCCTTTCGCTCAGGAACCACACGATGCACGAAGTAAAGTGACTGGATACTGTGCAGAGGGCAAGTGTTGCCGTAATACCGTGCACTAATCGCAAGCCATGCATTATTGACAGAGGCTATGGGAAGGGTTCTGGCTCTAATGAAAGACGTTCATCTCTCCTCGATCGCTTCACACGAGATATTTTGCGGGCCACTCATCCCTGCGTAGGGAATGGATAATCACCACTGGCCTGGCGGAGGCCCTTCCATTAATCAGTGGCACGAGTGAGTGAGCCGGCGGCTTAAAGAGCCACACCTTTAACGAATGCTCAGAGAAAGTATCCTGACTGAATTGTAATGCTCATTTACATGTTGCTAATTGGACAGATTTTTTGGCCTGTTCAATAAATATATATTTAAACCCTGAGCCTGATAACATTATGAACGAAGGTTATGACTTTAAATCAAATGCTCTCATTTAATCATAAAGATGTCTATTTGCTTACTCTTTGGTTCTATTTGGTAAAGTCACATAGGTAAAAATAAAATAACAAAAAATCACGACGTTTCGGCCACAACACAAGTGGTCTTCATCAGGTGAAGGGACTGGACTGTCCACAGGACAGCGTTGGAGTGAAGACAGCAAGCCCAGGTCACGTCCTTTAAGCTGTGTGGGAGGAAACAAAAAAACGCCTTGACAAAGGAATTAGCATAAAATGATGTACTGGACCGGCACGGTGGGGGGGGGTTAGTTTACATAATGTTGGTGTGTAGGGAAATAAGCTGCTGTGAAAATTTGGGATACCACTACTTGAATAAATATACTGTACCATTGAAAATTAGTTTAATGTTTGGTTTGATTTAGAACATCTTTCCAATGATTGCTTAATTTGAAACCATCCTCTCGGTTGAAATTGTGTCTGTGTTTGTAAATCTGAATTGCCTCGTGGACAAATTTCTGATAAAAACCTGTGAGTTTGCAGAGAACCTTGGTATCGGAGAAAACTATATCGTGATCACACACAGCGTTGTAACAGTGATCAGCTACGGCAGAAGAATTCGTTCTGCCGTGTTTCAAATCTGATTTGTGCTCGCGAATTCGGTCAGAAACATGTCGTTTCGTCTCCCCGATATAGCAGTCACCACAGGTGCAGCTCAATTTGTAAACCCCGGGGTACTGTAAGTCAGGAACGACATCCCTCACGGATGGGATCAGGTCACGGATTTTGTGTACTATATTGAACCGGACCAGGATCTTGTGTTTGTTTAGAATTTTGGAGATCTTTTTAGTAACGCCTGCTATATATGGTAGTGTGATGGTTTTGACCGGAGTATCAAGTGGTTGTTTCTGTATGGAGGGAGAAACAGCTTGGCGGATGGTACGGTCAGAGTATCCGTTTCTCTTGAGGGCCAGGTGTACATGTTTTAATCCACTGGTCAGGTGGTGTTGGTCCGAAATGCAATGTGCCCTGTGGTATAATGTTTTGATGAGAGAATTATTTTGAGCTGGGTGGTGGTGGGAATCAGGTTTCAAGTAGGAATCTGTGTGGGTGGGTTTCCTGTAGACAGAATGCCCCAGTGAGCCATCAGGTCTCCTCTCAAACAGAACATCCAAGAATGGTAGCTTGCCATCTTTCTCCACTTCCATGGTGAATTTGATGGCGGGATGTCTAGAATTGATGTGGTGTAGGAGAAGGTTCAAAGCTGGGAGGCTATGTGGCCAAATGACAAAAGTGTCATCCACATATCTCTTCCACAGGGAAGTTCTGAGGGTGGAAGTCCAGATGACAAAATGTACCTCTTCCATAAGGTTTGGGCGCAGAGTGGCAGTCTGGATGGCGTCTGATTCAAATTTCTCCATGAAAACATTGGCTATCACTGGTGATAAGGGAGAACCCATGGGGGTACCCTCATTTTGTTTGTAGAAGGTGCCATTCCAAGTAAAGTAGGTATTGGTGAGGCACTGTCTAATCAGCACAGGTGTATCGGGGTCTAGTCCATGTTGTACCAAATTTTCAATTATTTAAATGGTGTCAGGTACCGGGACCTTGGTGAACAGGGAGACCACATCGAAGCTGACAAGGATATCGTCAGGGGACAGTACAACATATTTGACCAAAGATACCAAATGAGCTGAGTTAAGTACTGCTGAGGAGGTCTTGCCAGTGAAAGCTAGCAAGGTATCTGACAGAAAACGTGCTAGCTTATAGGTAGGGGAGTTGATCGTGGATACGATGGGTCGTAGTGGAGTGCCTTCTTTATGAATCTTGGGGAGACCATAGAATCTAGGGGGTCTTGCAGCAGAAGGTTTTAAGGAGGGACGTTCAGTTGGTTCGATTAGGGAGGTCGAACTTGTGATGATCTTGTTGGTTTTTATAGTTAGGCTATTAGTAGGGTCATTTTAAATTTTTGAGTAACTTCCATCGTTGAGTAGGTTCTGGATTTTGTTGTACGAATCTTTATCCATAATTACCTACGTGACTTTACCGAATAGAACCAAAGAGTATGGATCCTTGCAGTCACGAAAGCTTCAAATCTAGAATGTCTATTTGCTGGCACACGCATATTTAAGCGTGGCAATGGGAAGAGCACATTGCTTTAGAGAAGACATACCTTTATATCCGTCTGTGGCAGCGACATGTTAAAAAAAAATCGAAATAACAGGCTAAGCAAGTTAATCTGGAAGGATATGCTCCCCACACTTTAGCCCACGACTTGCGCCATGCCAATTCACTAATTGTGGCCGTACCCATTTATTGTTCTGGGTGGGCAGATGGGTACCGGAGAAAGTTCGGCATTCAAGGAACGTGCCCCATTGTTTCAGCCGGCGTGCGAGGAGTTCAAACCGACGACCTCTGGATTGCAATTTCCACAGTGTGATAACAGCGAGACCACGGCGGCACGTATCGTATTCACGCACGTTACATTGAAATTATTTCCAGAATCAATGGATGTTTTACTAACAGTGCATTTTGGCATGCAGATCACAACGTCTCTGCGTGGTTGCATCGCCGCACATGATTACAGTATTAACCGTACACCTCACCTCATGAGCAAGCGCGTGCCATGTACGGTTGTGTAACCACTGAGTCTTTCCTTAAAAGTCATTAAACTTTCAACAAAGTCTTTATTTTTAGAGCGTTGATATGGATCTGCACTGTTGTTTTTTTTTTCCGAACATGACCATGTCTCTTGCATTCGTAATCATGCCCATCCTCTACAGTTATATATAAATAAATAAACTTATTTTAATCGTCAGTCAAGGTCAATCCACTGGTGGATGAATACCTCCACATGCCACCATTATTTCGCAACACCACGATGCAAACATAACCGAGGCTCGGAGAAATGGGCATTGTCAACACATGGCAATGTTGCTGTCAAACAAAGTAAATAATTTACAGCTCAGATGTACATGGCTAATAACAATTATATGCCGAGGATATTAAATATGTATGCTTCTTATTCAATTCCAAAAATGGTAAGACTGGTGAAATCGGTCCATCTGCTTTATTAAGACATTGTGTCAGCCGCAACACATTTGTTTTATAATTGAGTAAACAGCGGCGATGTATACGCTGTTAATCACGCGGTGTGGTCATTGTAGGACTCAACGGCTTGAGAACATCAGAAGGACAGATGGCTGATTTATATTTAGTTTTGGTTTATGAGGTAAAAGCAAATGTTCCTTGGAGTCCGTGGCGAAATATCTGGCCCTTATAAGGCGGAGACAGGGCGCTGGCATATGCGTGGCTCAAGTGGCCCCTAGGGCGCACGTACACACGGCTGGTAAATTCTTGTCGTTATAGTTCGCTTATTAGGAGTACTCGCCACTTCAAAAAGCAGCCGCGCACAATTCTCCTCCGAGCACATTCGCAGGGCCGCCTACCCGCGCGATCGTCTGCAGCCTCTTTAATCAACGCCGCGCGGCTGCGAGGTACAGACGCGCTCTCTCCTCTCCTTTCGTTTGCCTGAAGATGCGACGGCAGCATTGTTTCAAATGTCAGATTCAATTGTTGCAATCACGCGGCTTGTTGTATAATGCCGGGGGAATCATTGCGCACGTGGTAACATCTTGTAGTAGTCTTTTTTACGCGTATGCATTTACTTTTTGCCTTTCGTTACGATTAGTATTGCTGTTGCGTGATTATTTCCAAATATGTGCGCTGCTGCGTTGACAATGCACGTGAATGCGTGCTTGACTGTCCTCGTCGCGACGGTGATGGCTCTGGAGCCGGTGGCTTTGGCCGAGGTTGCCGTGTTTTCTCGCTCCGCCACTATTGACAGGAGCGCGTTGTGAATGAAGGGAGTGTGTTATAGAGCTGCTAATTAGCGCCTCTGCACAGCTTTAGCTGTTGCGATTGGAATTCCAAAGGGCACTCCACACAGGGATCATTGCTAACTCCGCGCTAATCTCCTACAAAGGCATTTGCAGTGAAGGCACTCTGCGTTGCAGCAACACTACATTTGGCACCGTGTATGACCTAGAATAAAATTTAAACCGCATCCAGTTTTCATGTAAATGTGAATATTGCATGCTAAGCTTTTAGGTGTTTCCACCAAATGGTATCCGGATCGTGTACTCAGTTGTATGTTTACCTTTTAGCCAACGTGTGCATCTTGTTCAAAACTCTGGTTTAAATCAGCGAACATTTATAATGGACATTCGGAGTACGACTAATGCATGTGCTCATAAATTTACAAGACTGCGTAAAAAAATGTAAGCCACTTGAGGTTGACATCGATAGGGGGCTCTTGGCTGTATAGCATCATTTAGTAAACTCGTTAAAATGACACCCACAATTTCGCACGTGCAAAACAACTTTAATTACTACATTCCAGAATGGTTGCGGTACAATCAGTTAATCCACATATTAAATACACGCGACGTTTACATTTCGTTACGGTGGGTGCCCCAGTTACGATACGACAATCTTACCTCAAGACGAAAGCATGTGGGTAGCCTCTTACACAGAGTGTGCGAGACAAACCAATGTTGCTTCTATAGTGCCACCGATACCTTCACGAATTAAAAAAAAAACGAGTCGTGGGCAGTTTACCGTTGACGTAAACTCCCAACGTAATGTGAATGTACGCATTGAATTCGCGGTTGAACACGAACGCAATGATGCGCTGTGATGGACTGGAGCAAGTGGGGCAGAAACGTGTTGTGTTGTAGGCAATTACATTTTCAAACACACAACCCCGTACCCCCCTTTTCTTTTTTTTGTGGTGCCACACATCCAGTCCCCGAGGACCTTCTCCATTAACTGCCTTAATCCCACCCGCATTCCTGGCCGACACACCCCCAACCACACCGTCGACTCTCCCCATTCCACGCGGTCCTACCCCTCATCTACTCTGAGCAGTGTCCATCTGTGTGTGTGTGACAGCGCGGCACGTCCGAGTGACGTTCCATACGCTCACACCGTTGGCACACATTTGTTTTGCCTCTGAAAATGACAGGAACATGTTCAAGGTTTCTTTGCTTCGGAAACAAAATATATCTCCCAACAATGTACAACTCAAAATACTGCAATTGCCTTCAATTCCTAAGACGGTTTTTTTTTTAATCATGAACCAAGTAGATGTATAATGGCTTTTAAAAAAATATATATGACTCTAACCACAAGTGCACTTTGAAAATGTCGTGCACATTTTCATCGATTTTCCCTTCCTACAAATTCTGATTATGAAGCCGTTCCCTCATCTCTGTACGATCTTCCCCTTTGCAATCTCTACTCCGAAATCCACGACCACCCCTTTTACAATCACTCCTGCTTCATCTTCTATTCACCGTCTTCTCCAGCATTCTTCCCCATCCCCTAACAGCCTCGCTCATCGCGGCACCCTTCAAACTGCACTTCCATCTGCCACTGAAGCTCCTGTCATCATCGCTCATTCTTCTTCTCGGGTCCTACAACCACGCTCGTTATCTAGCACCGGGCACATGATGATGATGATGATTATGTGGCCATGATGAGGTCCTCAGGAGCCTAGGGACCAAGATAAGCTGCGTGGTCTGTGTCAGTGTCACTGCGCCTCCCTCACCTTTACAGTCTCCTTGGTATTTGTTTTCATTTGCACGGTCTCATATGCACAATCTTTCTCACTTCAGTCGCTTAATCATCACGTTAGCATATAATTTCGTTGAAACGTGATTAATTGAATCGTCAATGCATGCATGCATCGTGAGTTCAGAATCTGCTGTAATCGTTTTGGAATCGTTGATATCATGAAACACATTACTTTTTTTAAAAATTAAATTACAGTATTATACTCGCGATGTTATCTCTGCGCATTGCTTCAGTAAAACTAGTTTTCCATGCCGAACACATTAGCATATTGCAATCAGGTAGATTTAGCTGTTATTGATAATTAGGGCCGATACAACATAACGTTACTTGGTTGTATATCTCTTTGTGACAACGATAACAAATACATGTCAATGGTTGTGCAAAGAAGGCAGCTGCAACATTTTAAATAGGAAAGATCATCCCCCCAAAGAACAGGTTGGGAATACCATTCGGCAGTCGTGATCGGATCAAACTGCGTTTTACTTGAACTGTATAACATCGTTTGAAACACTTACACCCGGAAGCAGCCACCTCTTTGGTATGCTGTGTGAGGAACTACAGTAAATATTTAGTGGTCAATATTTAGTGGCCAATATTTAGTGGCCATTTGTTACGTTTCTCTGAGGCGTGAAGAAATGAAACAATATTTTTGACCAGGTAAGGCCCACTGAGCTATATAGCTCTTTTTCAGAAGCGACCTGGCCACAAATGATAGCTCAACAAAATGGCTTATCACGTGGAAATGTATAGCAGCCAAATACTCTAAACGCATGCTTCTAAAAGTGGTGGGGAAAAACCGGGGGGACCCGGAGAAAAATCCACGCGACCACCTGGGGAGAGACACGCAAATTCCAAATATACAGCAGGCGCCAGGGTCGGGATCGAACCCACGACTGTCCTACATACCAGTCGAGGTAGTTAACATCTCGCCACCTCGGCGCTCATGAGATGTGAGCACTCATGTGTTTGGGGTTGTGGAGTGAGAGGAGGGGTAATTTGCCCCGGTTGCCTGCATCAGCGTTAATCACACGGGCCTCCCTGGAGTCACAGTGTATCCCGGGTGTGATGTAAACACCCTCATTATAGGTGCCGAATACAAACATTGCTTAATAATTAACCTCTCAAGACGTGACGGCTTCGTTTTGATAGCAGTTGTATGCGATGCGACGTGGGTGCCTTTACGCGATTTTCATCGTGAAATAGATTTTCACCAAATGCGCCTATTAATGTTATTCTTTTTATTCATAAATTCAATGACTGAAAAATATTCACTGTTTTAAGTCAACAGCAATGATCTATCATGGCCTATTTACTCGACAAACAATGTATATGCATACTCTTTGTTTTTTTCGGTAAAGTCACGTAGGCAAAAAATAAAATGAAAATAAATGAAAAAAATAAATTAAATCACGACGTTTCGGAAGCTTGTGTTGCCTCCAAAACGTCGTGATTTAATTTAGTCGTTTTCATTTATTTGTATTTTATTTTTTACCTGCGTGACTTTACCGAACAAACCAAAGAGCATGAATCCTTGCGGTCACGAAAGCTTCAAATCTAGAATGTATATACACTCATACAAATACCCGACTTAAGACAAACCAATGCAGGAGACGTCTTAAAGAGAGCATCGAGACTCATCAAGGCTTATACATTGCTAAAAGGGAAGAGTATATGAAACGACTTGCATTGATTCCGCATCAAAATGGAACAACATCCCATGGGGCTGTACACGAGTGGGGTACTTAAGTAAAAGGGGCACGTGAAGAGGTGCGGAGGAGAGTTGAGAGGTAAATTGCAGTGGGGAGGAGAACGACTTACAGGGAACTGTGAACAGCATCGAAGCCACTGACTGTGGAGTCGGCACACGCATGAGCATAGAAGGAACGACAGAGTCTTAAGGGCAATAGCAGGACAATAGAGTCAATAATGTTCACAACAAGGGGTAGAGCAAGAGGTCCAGACTTATTGGGCAGCTTAGCAGAGAGAAGGAGCAACCTGCCCTTGACTGAAAATAATCTTTGTGGAGAATATAAACGATAACAAATGAATAAGTGGACAATATGGCTCCTGCACATAGCGTCCCGTTGGTGTGGTTAGAACAGTTGTCATGGGGATATTAGAGGGAGAATATAGGAATTGGTGGGACTTCTGAGAAGGATGTCAGGATAAAATTAGTGTTATTACAATAATAGAGTAACAATAAAACTTGCATTTATATATTTTTTTTTTACCAAAGTAAATAACCAGAAGATGAGTCTGCATAAGGAGATGTGGTTCGAAAAACTGGATCGGAGAAATAAAGGCGTAAACACGTCGCGAACGCTGTGACTCACTGTTAATTTACAAATCGATTGTCACGTGAGTAGAAGTTAACCTCCGCGCCGAGGAACAGAAGGTGACACAGTGGGTATGCAACAGAAATAATAAAGCGTCAGGCCAGATGGTGCAGTGATTGTAACACTGAACCCTGAGTAGGACTTGCTGAGATGCAAAAATTGTTGTCGATATAATACTCATTCCTATGGTGGAGTACAGAATATCGGCCACTGGCTGAGAGCTTGATGTTTTTGTTAGTATTTTGGTACATATTTAACAAACACAAAATGACCTCATATGCAGCGATCAGAAATCAATCAACAAAAATGGCATAACAGAAGTAAATAACAAAACGTTTTAAAACCAAAAGTATTGCTCATAGATGGTGTTTCACTATAGCTGTTATCACCATATAGATATATTGCACGTCACTGAAATTAAAACCCCGATGCTCATTTGTTTTACAAATAACAAGTACATTAAGTGACGTGATGGGACGCATTGGCTTTCATTGCTGCCCGCTGTCTCTCTGTCTTGTTAAACACACCCCACTAATGACTAATGAGTTTCGGTCAATACTCTGTTAATACTGTAGAACATTTTCATTACTATTTATACAAGCACATTATAAGCCATGGTAACCGCTCTCATGTTCGCATTAATGTCAATGTTTAATTATGGCAGAGCTAACATTACGGCTGTGTTTGCTTTATTATCATTATCTAGGATTCATAATTATTTTTTAGGGTAAAATCGTGACGGTATAATGCAAATTTGTTTTAGATATAAGCCTGCACCACCCCACCAGAGTCAGTCAAATCGAGTTGTCACGTGGGCAAACATGCCAATTGGTTTAGATTCTCAGCAAACTGGAGTGCTGAAATGTGAGCACAATGTTGACAATTGTATCACAGCCAGCAACATCATGGGTTCACAAAAGCCCAACTCTCACATGAAGGAGCTTCCATTATACCTCCGCGATATAAAACCATTACCGAGATTGATCAATCCATCGGTGGTCTCGTGACACTGTGCTTTACCCGCCATTTTTAAATACCACATTAAAAACATGGAGAAGTGAATTCCGCCTATGAACTGCCTGACACAAAGCAGATACAAAATGCAATGACTATCATGGCATTTACAAGTTGTATGTATGTACAGTACGTTGAACTTCTTTCCCATCGTACGGAGACAACCGTGCGAATCGAAAGTGCGGAGGGAATGACAACAAACTAACACGCAAAAAAGCGAATTCTAATTACAGTTTAGAAGACTTGTGTCTGTTCGATGGGCACTCCCAAACACAGGATGTGTTTTTGTTTAATATTTTTCCAAGATATGAACTGAGAGAGAAAATAAAACCCCCAATGAGCACAGAGACAAAGGATATCGTGGAAGTTGGGCAGCGCTGTTTTCGTCGGCTTTTCGCAAAGCACACGGAATCATGCAGCTGGGTGAATCGTGGAGCAAACATCGGGGCTGTGGAAAAATAATGTTAAAAAAGGCGGAGAAAACATGAGAACTGGGAAGAAATTAATTTACCAGCCGCCCTTTACGTACGGTCCTGTCGCGCCGAATTTAAACTCTCGAGGAATTTCTGTAACCCCCCCCCCTCCAGAATGTCGATCGGCGTATTATACCGGGTTCGCGTTTTGTCGCAATAGAAACAACTAAAAGAGCTATAAAACTACGTAATGTAAACTGTGATAAGGCAACAACAGTCGCCTGAAAAAGTGTTCTAACGCAACAGCAACGTGACAATTCAATCTACATGATAAGGGAACATTTACTACATTTTTTTTTGTAAAAGGTCACATTACCTTTACGTAAAGAGAAAATATAAACAATGTTTTCCTAACCTTTAGAGGGATAGTTTCATAATAAAGTTTTTTTGGGGGATTCAAACACGTCAATATAACTGTTAAACAGGGATACGTTTAATGAGTTAACGATTGGTGTTCATCCATGGTGTAGAGTATTCTGTAGGACAGCATGCAAATGACACATGTCTGTTAGCTTGGACATTAGTGGACAGTTTGCAGCCCGCGGGCACTTTCGTTGGACACTTATACCATTAAAGTAAGCTCTCGTTAAACGAACGTGATGGCGTTGGTGAGGCAAAGTGTCATTCGGAAGTGAGAATATGCAGGAGAGCAGAGGAATGTTTGGGGCTTGCGAGAACACTTGCATTACGTTGGTAGGTGAGGGTTCTTGCTGGACTGCAAAAATCACCTTGGAAAGGGAGAGAAGTCAAACGTATTGTTAAATGATGGATGTTTTGGGGAGCGAACAATATCTATGTTAAATTTCGATTTAAAGCTTTCGTGACTGCAATGATTCATCTTCTTTGGTTCTTTCGGTAAAGTCACGTAGAATGAGAATAAAATAATAAATTGATAAAATAAAATAACACAATAATATTCTCACGACGTTTCGGCCACAACACAAGCGGCCTTCATCAGGTGAAGGGGGCGAGACTGTCTGGTAGGACAGCGCTGGAGTGAGAGAGCCACGTTCAGATCACGGCTTTTAAGCTGTGTGAGAGGAACAAAGAGCCCTCAAATTTCCGTACCACGGATAGCTATGGGCCCCGTTCAGACGGACGAGTTCGTCCATGGTCGGAACAGAGGAGGGGGAGAGAGACAGCTGCGAGGCCCTAGTATGCTCCATGTTGTAAACCATACCATTAACCGTGGTGTGAGAGGTATTAAGAGGCAATGCTGGCGAAAGAGCTGCGGTCTGAAGGACATCGTAAAATTACAATTAATTAAGAACAGAAATGATTTAACACATCTTTCCAGTGGTTACTAAGCCTGAATCCATCTTCTCGGTTGAAATTGTCTCTGTGCTTGTATATGTGAATGGCCTCATGAACGAATCTCTCATGGTAGCCGGTTGGTTTGCAAAGAACCTCCGTCTTGGAGAAGTCAATGTCATGTGAGCCCACTGAATTGTAACAGTGATCTGCCACGGCAGAGGAGTTCGTCTTACCGTGTTTCAAGTCTGCTTTATGTTCGCGGATGCGGTCCGAGATATGTCTTTTGGTTTCTCCAATGTAGCTACTACCACAGAGGCACTTTAGTTTGTAAACGCCTGGGTACTGTATGTCTGGAAGAGCATCTTTTACAGATGGAACTAAATCACGGATTTTGTGTACTGTGTTGAATCGGACCTGGATCTTGTGTTTATTCAGGATTTTGGAGATCTTTTTAGTGACCCCTGCAATGTAGGGTAAGGTGATGGTTTTGAGTGGCTCCACAAGAGGATCCTTCTTCATGACTGGAGTGATGGCTTTGCGGATTGTGTAGTCGGAGTAGCCATTAGCCCTGAGAGCCTGGTGTACGTGTTTGAGTTCACTGGTAATGTGTTCCTGGTCGGAAATGCATTGGGCTCTATGGTATAGAGTCTTGATGAGGCAGTTCTTCTGGGATGGATGGTGGTGGGAATCCGGTTTCAAGTAAGCATCTGTATGGGTAGCTTTCCTGTAGACAGAGTGGCTCATTGAACCATCATGTCTCCTTTTAATTAAGACATCCAGAAAGGGTAGTTTGCCATCTTTTTCGACCTCCATGGTAAATCTGATGGCTGGGTGTATGGAATTGATGTGGTCGCGGAATTGGTCTAGAGCAGGCTGGCCATGTGGCCAGATGACAAAGGTGTCATCAACGTACCTCTTCCATAAGGTCGGGCGTAGAGTGGCAGTCTGGATGGCGTCAGTTTCAAATTTTTCCATGAATACGTTGGCTACAACCGGAGATAGGGGGGAGCCCATTGGGGTGCCCTCAGTTTGTTTGTAGAAAGTTCCATTCCAGGTGAAGTATGTGTTGGGGCTCACATGACATTGACTTCTCCAAGACGGAGGTTCTTTGCAAACCAACCGGCTACCATGAGAGATTCGTTCATGAGGCCATTCACATATACAAGCACAGAGACAATTTCAACCGAGAAGATGGATTCAGGCTTAGTAACCACTGGAAAGATGTGTTAAATCATTTCTGTTCTTAATTAATTGTAATTTTACGATGTCCTTCAGACCGCAGCTCTTTCGCCAGCATTGCCTCTTAATACCTCTCACACCACGGTTAATGGTATGGTTTACAACATGGAGCATACTAGGGCCTCGCAGCTGTCTCTCTCCCCCTCCTCTGTTCCGACCATGGACGAACTCGTCCGTCTGAACGGGGCCCATAGCTATCCGTGGTACGGAAATTTGAGGGCTCTTTGTTCCTCTCACACAGCTTAAAAGCCGTGATCTGAACGTGGCTCTCTCACTCCAGCGCTGTCCTACCAGACAGTCTCGCCCCCTTCACCTGATGAAGGCCGCTTGTGTTGTGGCCGAAACGTCGTGAGAATATTATTGTGTTATTTTATTTTATCAATTTATTATTTTATTCTCATTCTACGTGACTTTACCGAAAGAACCAAAGAAGAATATCTATGTTACTGTATCAGAGCTTCTATTTAAAAATGGAGACAAAATTATTCGAATAACTGCAGGCTCCTGAGCCTACATTGTTAAGAGAGCATCGGGAAATGTTGCAGTCTAGTTAATTTAGCCCAACGACCGTTATATACAAACCAAAAGGCAGCTCGGCTTATCCACGAATGTTCCTATGTGTGACCCCATTTAGCCAAATCAGTTCTGATAAGAAGGACTCCACCATATCACGTTAAACATTATTGCACATGTTATGTTCTGAGCCCCTGAGCTTCGAGAAATTATTCTCAACTCAAAAATCCTGAACATCATCATCAAACATTTTCAGCATCGTAAGATCTTCATAATATTATTTCACTGTGACTCTCTCTGGCTCTCTGAACCGTTGTAATTGGCTCTGAATCTTTATGAACTCTTATTGTGGAGTTTGGAATCGTATATAATGCCTCAGGTTTTCTATGCAATGGTGGGGAGAGCATTTCTGGACGGAGTATATTTATATAGTGCACCAAATTTAGTAAGGGTAAAATGGCTTACATCTGCTGCAAGCCAGTGTTAAAAGGCTAGCTAATTGTGGACACACGAGCTATGGAAAACACCATTCCTCGGATGTAATTAGAAGTGAAAATTAAAGCGTTGACATCTTTTTAGTCCCTGACTTTGAAATACTGGCATTCCAATTCTGCCAAAAAAAATCATAGACTCATGAAAATGTAGTTGTCATCAGCATTAAGTGTTTTTCTGCATTCATAAAAAAACGCCTTTTTGTTATCATGACATGCGCAAACTTTCAAACGTTGGAATTATTTGCCACCATTAAAATGTGGTATTTTGTCGACACGTTGCGTATTTGCACTGTAATTACAAGTGCTCTGACACATTGGGGGATTGTTGGATTTACTTGTTTACACTCTTCAGATACAACCTCATGTATTGTTTAAACCAGTTTTAGGTATGAGATGAGAAGCCTAAAGATGCGTTCAACGTCGTGAAGTGATGCCTTATAACAGCATCTTGTTTGTTTTCTTTTCAGAACTCCCGCTGCATACCGCAATCATGAGCGAGTGAGTACCAATCTTCACATTGAATGTCTTTGCAAGTTAACCGCACAGCACCAAAACCCTTTTCGCGGACACTGTTCCCTCTCCTATTTAAACGGTCACAATATTATCCGTTGAAGTAAACACACACACACAACAAAAACACACATATTCTTGAGTCTTTCGGTAAAGTCACGTAGATAGGTTCTAAGAAAATAACTAAAAATAACAAAAAAATATGACGTTTCGATCGCAACACAAGCGGTCGTCTTCAGGAAAAGGGGGTTTAGCTTCCAAGGCAAACTGTTTATAATGGTTTGAAATGGGCGTAGCCCAAATGTCAGCAGCCAATGATAATGTAAGTGGTTGGCAGCCAACACGAAGGTAGTTGGTTTTCACCAATCAAATAGCTGCCAGGTGAAAATTAGCATGTTAAAGAGAGATTGGCATGTTAATGGGAGATCGCAGAGCCGCAACCAAGTGACTGTGCTAGTGTGAACCGAGTGAAAGCACAAGTTTGAAATGGAGTTTTAATGTGGGAATTCTTCTGGGATGGATGGTGGTCGGAGTCAGGTTTTAGGTAGGCATCCGTATGGGTGGCTTTCCTGTAGACAGTGTCCCATTGAGCCATCTGGTCTCTTTTCGATGAAAACATCCAAGAATGGTAACTTTCCATCCCGATGACACGTTTATCATCTGGCCAAATGGCCAACCAGCTCTGAACCAATTCCTCGACCACATCGATTCCATACACCCAGTCATCAAATTCATGATGGAGGTGGAAAAGGATGACAATTTACCATTCTTAGATTTTTTTATCGAAAAGAGACCAGATGGCTCAATGGGACACTGTCTACAGGAAAGCCACCCATACGGATGCCTCCCTAAAACCTGACTCCCACCACCATCCATCCCAGAAGAATTCCCTCATCAAAACTCTACACAATAGAGCTCGATGTATTTCCGACCGTCATCACCTAGCCAGTGAACTGGAACACGTACACCAAGCTCTCAAGATGAATGGATATTCAGACTACACAATCCGTAAAAGCTATCACCCCAACCATTGGGAAAGAACCATCTGAGGACCCAATCAAAACCATCACCTTGCCATGCATAGCAGGGGTCACTAAAATTATTTCCAAAATCATGAGTGAACACAAGATCCAGGTTCGATTCAACACAGTACATAAAATTCATGATCTGATCCCATCTGTGAAGGATGTGATCCCTGACATGCAATACCCCGGCGTCTACAAACTAAGCTGTGTCTGTGGCAGCAGTTACATTGAGGAAACTAAGCGACATGTCTCAGACCGTGTTTGTGAACATAAGGCAGATCTGAAACACGGTAAGACCAATACCTCGGCCGTGGCTGATCATTGTTTGAATGTGGTGGGCTGACATGAAATTGATTTCTCTAAGACGAAGGTACTTTGCGAGCCCACTGGCTATCAACAAAGGTTTGTTCATGAAGCCATACATATATACAGACACAGACACAATTTCAACCGAGCAATCATTGGAAGGACGTTATCAACCAGTTTAAGTCATAATTTGCTATGATGTCCCCATCCTACCACTTTGCGATGTTAGTTGTGCTTTTACTTCCATTTCAAACTTGCACTTTCACTCGGTCCACATTAGCACAGACACTTCGTGCGCTGACCCCTTGGTTGCGGCTCTGCAATCTCCCATTAACATGCCAATCTCTCTTTAACATGCTAAGGTCGCAGTCTGAGCGTGGCTGCGTTTCACTCCAGCGCTGTCCTCGAGACAGTCTGGTCCCTTCACCTGATGAAGGCCGCTTGTGTTGTGTCCGAAACGTCGTGATTTTTGTTGTTTAATTTTTTTACCTACGTGACTTTACCGAATAGAACCAAAGAGTATGCTCATTTTCACCTGGCAGCCCTTTGATCGATGAAACCAACTACTGTCGTGTTGGCTGCCCACCACTTATATTATCATTGGTTGCTGACATTTGGGCTATGCCCATTTCAAACCCTTATAAACAGTTTGCCTTGGAAGCTAACCCCCCTCTTCCTGAAGACGACCGCTTGTGTTGCGATCGAAACGTTGTAGTTTTTTTTGTTATTTTTTGTTATTTTATTTGAACCTATCTATGTGACTTCACCGAAAGACCCAATAATATGAATTCCTGCAGTCACAAAAGCTTTAAGTAAAAAAAACACACATTTTGTCCACAATTTATGATTGTACAACGGTAGTAACGTACACGTAGCATACTATGGTATTCTGATGGGCTCATTGCGATGCGGAATAGGAGTAAGCTAACTCCGACATACGTGGAAGCATGGGCTTAAAAAAACGACAAAAATAGAGGCTTCCGTCAGTAGAGCAGTGAATATTAGCCACGTAATATACGTCGTAGCATTCCGTTTGACTAATAGGACTGGGCATTTTTTGTTTTGCTTTATTCTCTCCAAATATATTCCAGTCGTGCTATCGGCATCTTGTCAGTGGACAAAGTAGCTTGGAAGACACACAGACAGCAGTATAATTCTGTGTGTCTGACAATTACATCATAGAATGTCTTCATGAGGTCCCTTTAAATAGGCCATTTAATCTTAGCAAAGTGTGTTTGTGCCCTGGCAATCAAACCTACACTTGACTTCACCAGCTGGTATATCCAGTTATTCAAAACGAGTGGAGTATTGTAAAGTGGTTCATACATTGTGTTATGAATCTGGAAACCGGAGTCCAATTCCTGGCCATGGCGAACATGAATGGCAATATCTGAGCCGGTCCTGGCTCCCCTCTTGCCTTCCTTCACCATCTTGCAATGGCCAGCGAAGTGAAGTTTGGCCAGACAACTCCGTTAAACAACATGAGGCGGGGTGGCCTTCATCCAGCAGTGGATTACCAAGCGTTTTGAAGAAAAGAAATCGTTTTTAGTAACCAGACCATAAAGATACTTTTTTCCTGAGTACCTGGTTTAATTACTCGTTTCAGTGCTGCTGGATTAATGCTCTGGCATGGCATCAACCCAATAAGCAACCTAAGATTTGTTAATTTTCATTCCACGGTTGTTGCAGCTGCAGTCAAAGGTGCAACGGTATATTAAATGTGCATATAGCTCACTCCGAGTAACCTCCACACAACATGGCCTTGTTAGAAAATCCACAAACAAGACCGGGAAAAAAGAGTGACATTAAAAAATGCGTCTCAGGGCTTGTTCTTGTTGGGGCCAGGCAATGCATGCACATTTACCCAAGGCATTCCACTTCGGTGCACATTTTCTCATACGGTGATCTCAGCTTAATTGGTCAGCAAACCTACAATTCACTTCTATGCATTCAGTGCCATCCGATATATCATCTGGTCCCCGCGTGCAGGACTTGCACCCTTGCTCAGCAGCATAGTTAACATTGCTGATAAGGGTGAGAGCATATGCAAGCCCGCAGGCCTACGCTTACGTGCATAACACTCATTTCAAATAGGGCTACAGGGAGATCTCAGCGTGGAATTCGTGCGGCATTCATTCAATACGGCAAGTATTGTATTACATGGCAATATAATACTGGGTCTTTGATGGTACAATGATTGGTTCAAATCTCATAATATATTTACCACTTGGTGTGAATTTAGCAATTGTTCATATATTACAGATTGGTCCCTGCCATAGCAAAATCTAATTTCCAGCAGTGGCTAATAAGCAACCAGTCGAAAAGATTCTCACCCAATGCTCGATGTTTAATAAAATATTGAAGCACAGTAAAAATGTATATTACAACTAAATATTACCAACAAAATACAGTTAATGGTATTGGCATTTATATGATAACAGCACAATGATATTATAAGGTTTAACTAATTCCGTGGTATGTGTAAATGAGTTAAGCTTTCAATTCATCCAGTTAACTAGTATATTAGGTAAGTGATTAATTTTTCTCCAACTTGCAGTGGCAGTGGCTAGGGAGGTGGAGTTGGGTCACTGGCTCAGCAAATCAATATTTAAACTAAACTACTAAACTTTTTTGTTTACAAGATAAAGCCCACTGAGCTATTTAGCCCTTTTTCAGAAGCAACCTGGCCGAAAATGATGGCCTAATAATGTGTCTTATGATGTGGAGGGGAAAACCGGAGGACCCGGAGAAAAATCGACGCGACCACTGGGAGAGACATTCAAACTCCAAAAATACAGGCAACAGGGTCGAGATCGAATCCACGACCTCCTGTATGCAAAGCAAAGTAGTTAACATCACACCACGACAGCACCCAAACACCTCTTCCCATGCTAGATGCTCGTCTCTTTCTCTTGGCTTTGCTTTACATTACAATAAATCCCAAATCTCCTAAATTGTTTTCCCCTCAAGTCGATTAAAATGTGACCTCATCGCTTGACGCGACTGTTTTAATAAATAATCGACGTATGTTAATTTCAAATGTTCAACTTGGTAATTTCAACAAGGATGTCAAATTACATGAATTTAATGCTCGAAAATATAATTATATTGGCTTGGAATATCACGTGTTACTGCCTGAGAACCCCCTGGAAAGGGGCAGGAGAGGGTTCTGCCGAGCCGTATCCGGTGACCTCTCCCGCAGGGTGGACACGCGCGGGGGGGGGGGGGGGGCGACGCATCTCGCCACGTGCCCTCAGATATGTTGATGAACGCCCTGAACATTCTGAACACTGTTTAAACTGGCCCTCGGCCAACCAGCCCTACCCGATTTGAACCCAGACTTTGAGGGCAAAAATTAAGACCCCCCACCTTCAACATCACCGCACGACCACCCGATTAGCTTCCTACCTCAATAACTAAATCGCGCACTTTCAGATGCGCTTCTGCGGCCATCTGGAATGCTCTCTCTTCCTATATTATGAAGCCACTGGAGCTTATGCACTTTTACATACATATTGAACACTCTTTTCTCTAGAACTGCTTTTCGTATTAAGTTGTCCTTGCCCCCCCGCACCTCCGATTAGCACGGTTGGCAAAGTACGTTGCGACAGAAGTTCAACATGCAGTCAATACAACTCACCCCTGTTATTGTTATTG